ATTGGTGATCCCCTGCTACTAGACACGGAAGCCTGTTAAGCGAAAGCTTCTTCTATTCAGTCCACAACCATTTGAACACATGAACTAGGTGCTGAGAGGCTCGCTTATCACAAGTTTCTTGCGACGATTAAGTAGATAAAACAAAGTAGCATTAGATTCGAAAATTTATTCAAGAACTTTCATCAAGGATCGAATATCAAACAAAGGTTTAAACCAAGTTCCCGTTTAAAAGTTGTATTGGTAATGTTAAGCTGCAGTTTTTGTTGTTTTTTTCCAAACGAAAGAGTAAAAGAAGTCAAAAAAATACTGGAAGTGGTTGTGAGACTAAAATGGAAGTCCAGCATCCTTTTTATAATCTGCTGTTTGTTGGATCTCCCGTAAACAGTTCCATAGGACCATAGTTCCAAGGGCGAAACAGTTTTTAGGGTCTGTGAAGGCTCACTCCTGTTGCATTCTAAATGAAAAAATATTGATGAATTTATTCAGAAATGTGGAATATATAAATAACCAAATCACATGTTTTTTAGCAAAGAATTTATGCAGTTGTGATTTACGTTGAGTTCATGAATATTAGATAAGGTCAGCTACTATTACTTGCGCAAAGCATAACATGGGCTTAGTACCGTATTGCAATGCTGTTATTATTTTGCTCCCATTTAAGTATTCCCATGCATCTGCGTCTAGTTTAACAGGAAGACATACAAGCAGAGTTAGTGTCTGATAAACTAAAAGTCCCAGTTGTCAAAAAGATTCTTAACATTTGTCCACAGCCAGCTGCATTTAATTGAGACACAGAACACTCATCTTCTAAGACTGTATACTGCTGTTTTGCGGGCAACTAAAAGCTCAGACACTTAGCTATCTTGCTACCGATGTTATTGCTGGGGAAATTGTTTAATGACAGTGATCATGAAATATGGTCAGTGATAGATGTACAGTTTAGAAATAAACACCAAACATACTTATCGCTATCTTATAATGTATGACAGCAACAGCATCAAAGGCACGGTTTTTCCTATTTTTAACCAGACTGATCTGAATTCGTATACACATCGGAAACAGGCAACTCTACTTACTAAACTGATCTGTTTCGTTACAGACTTCCAGTACTATACTTACGTATATCATAATTCTTTCAACTAAACTGAATTATACGACAACCAAGAACACTAAACTAAGCAAGTGTCATAGTTATTGTTTCACTTGCAAAGACATGTTGCTCAAAGTAGTTAAATGGACATAATTAAGCCGATAAAACCAAAACACGAAATATAGGCCAGTTGAACTTACCTAAGAAAAAAAGGATACATATATACTGCTTTCATACTGAAGACAACAGGCAGCTGTTCATAGAAACATAGTTTACAGTACAAAAACCTTTCTTCAGTAAAATCATGCACTGACAGTCTATCTGGAAACAATCAACTATGTGAATAAACTCACTATGACTTGAGATATCATCTCAGCGTGCAATGGACATACAGTGTAACGCAGTCGGACGTGGCGAATAAAAATTAAAGAGAGATGAAAATTAACTACATAATCTGGTTATTTAATTAAAAATACATTATGAAATGACAAAATCTGTGGTTACTTGAGCGCACAAACGACAGTGTGCGATACATTAAGTTTACATGGTTGCGTTGCGGATAAGATCACCCATAGTTGAGTATTCAGTGCTACTACACTGCCGTTCGATAACTGTTAGGAGTTCGTGACCTTATGGTCTTTAAGGCGGACATTTATTAAGTTAGAGACTAACATGTTCACTAAAGTATACACAACATTAATTTGATCCAAACTTGAAAACTGATTTCAGGCTCCAAGACTCTGTTAGAAAAACGATTCGAATATCCTAAAAAATAAAAAATGACGGCTACTCGTGCAATTTCAGAATCCTTGGGTTTAACATACAGGTGTTGTTTCAGAAGCTAGACATCATTACCTCGTCCTACTACGGATTAAAAGGTGATCTGATTGTGATATACATAATACCAAGAAATGAGTAATGCCTGAATTATCCTCTTTTTCTTTCTAATAGATTAGGACAACTTAGAGGACATAATAAGCGAGCAAAAAAGCCAAGAATGGACAAAATACCAGTGACATGTAGATTTACACACCAAATAATCAATTATTAGAACCCGTCACCCGAAAATGTGGTATGTCATTTCAGAAGACTCATTCAACAGGAGACTAAACACGCTTAGAATCTGACACGGGCCGTTAGCCTTCTGTTCTCAGTACATGAATCTCAATTTGATATAAAGCACATAATTGACCTGACTTCAACGTAAGCGCGTTCTACGTCTCTTGCGTTACATCGGTTAGAAGTTTGCTGCACAGTTCATATTACTTGTTGGCTTGCCTGAAGGACGCTACCGAATAAGCAGCATTATAAAAGTAGATTCTGGGTCATAAAACGTACGAAATATACCTTGAAACTTGACTAATAATAACGAGGGATAATAAAGGAGTAATAATGGGGAATTTCTGAGAAATACTAGGGAGATTCCATAAGAAGTGTCGCTATGTATATGGGCGAAAAAATCAAGTTGTGGCTTTTTTCCCAACGCCATGGGAATGGCAGGTTTTTTGTGAATTTTCCCGTCAAGTGGAAATGTCTAGAAATTAACTACTTGACCTTCCTCAAAATTACCACTGTATTGTCTATCCCCCGGATCTTCCTCTGAGTTGTCTACCTTTTCCTTATATTAGTCCTTCAGGTGGTTAAATATTAGTGTAATTAACAGACTAGTCCACTAAATAGTCGATAGTTTTTACCTATAGGTGATAATTGGACGTCAACATTTTACTGATAGATATGGTTCTTTAACCATTCCGAAAAATAGAAAGAACGTAATTAGTGTGAGGACTATTAAGCATATTTATTCATGAAGAATGATCTCTAGTTCAAACAAAGTAATAATGCATACCAGGGTTTACCTGCTATTCCTAGGTCGGTTGAACGTACTCTATGCAGTCGAGGTTAGTTTTAGTTTTAAGAATATTTATTTAATGAAAGCGGGTAACACTATAAGGAATTGGCGCGATAAAGGTGTTTTGAATGAGAAATAGCGTCTTCATCACTTGGATTTCAAAACAGATCAGCAATTGTAGTTTTTTATGTGCGGTGAGACTATAATTTATGGACGACCTTTGAGCGACGGTGAAGTGATCTTGAGAGCGGACACCAAATGATTAGGACCTAATAAGGGTTGTAGAACAGTCAGAATTTTCATATACAGTTAATGGTTAGGGTTTTCATCACTAACTGACATCAACTATAATGCCAAACGTGATAAGACATTTACAAGACGTTGGGATATTGAAGAATATACTTATTTTTGAATGTGGGTGCAAATCGACGCCGGATTTATTCACAGAAACATAAGGTAAAACGGCGTTTCACCATAATTCTTGCTAAGTGCAAAGGTCACTAGGGACTATGTCGTTTTTCTATCCGTTCGTGGCTAATAACAAAACAACTAACTCTTCCAGTCATGTGCTGGGTTTCAGGGACAAAAATGACTACAGCAACAGGCATGCAGACTTATCTAAAGTGCCCGTCATTCAGTAGTACAAATATTGCCGACAAAGTTCTGTATTTATGATGAGAGTTACATTTGCTTTGAGTGGAGTGAGCAAAATAATAGAAATTGGTGAGATAGTCGTATGCAATCAGTAATACAAGTTAACTAGGTATAAAAATGGGAATTAGAAAACAAAACGTTTACAATGACATATCAAAACATAGAGGATGACAAATGAATGCATCTGCAACTTGTCGATATACTGTAAAACGTCTCATACAACGTATCCAATTTTAGATTAAAATTATCGTTCCGGATCCAAATAGGTTAGCACCTGATTGAAGTTCATAATGTCAGTAGCTGATGTTGTCCCTTGGTTTTGGAATGCTCAGGAGTTTTCCAGCCCACTTATTTGTTGGCTTACATAGGACAACAGGGTGGACAACTACTCAACATATATGAAAGATTTCTCAGTGAATGAAGTTTCACACTATCAACTTATCCAGTACTTCTACTTATTACTTCATGTCCAACATTAGCATTTTCCATTCTCTGATTACAGTAGTCTTACTATCAAATAATAAAAATCTAATACTTTCTTTTACATTCATATACTGTTTCACGTCTAAGAAATGATAAAATGTGGAACGCTGCAAAATTTTCCGGTTTTTGTGATAAATAGGAAACTCCTTGTCTACATTATCAGTAACGGAAATCGGGTACTCGAATTTGTATTTAGTTAATAAGTTAGGAGTGTACAGAACGGTTTATATGGTTGAAAATTGACCACTATAACTCATATACCCATTTCATATTTTTCTCTAAATAGTACAAATACTAACACTTTTATATACTTGTTCGCTTTAAACTGATTAGTATTGTTATTTGGACACAAGCATTAGCACAAAGAAGCACCAAATACATATACACCACACAGGTTACTTGATTTGCGTGTAAGGACTATGGTACTGCCCGGGTGTCGAAGCCGAATCAGGTAGTTCTCTTAAGAAACCGCTCCCTGACCTCGATCTACAGGGCAGTAGAGAAACGTTAGGAGATGAAGTTTCATGGGTGCTGGTGATCAACAATAGGTTCCATTTGTTTTTTAGGACCCTGGAGCTCTTGTGCACCATTGATTTGGAATCAGAGTTTCCCACTTCTCCTAGGTGGATTGTTCATATCCACCGACCCGGTTAAGGCTCTGAGCATTCGCTTTTCGTCTTCTCAGTTTCGTAAACATCACCCACACCACGAGAAGGCGGTGAGTAGGACTTCCCTGGTAGTGGCTGTATACGAGTGGCCACGTGAGAGCGTTTGGGAAGGGAGGGTTGACTCTCCTCGACCCTGACCATATCAAGGCGTTTGGAGGCTGATGTTCTCGTTTTTTTTTTGATAAATAGGTGTGGCAAATTCTTTATGTCTATATCTATGTATATGGAGTTAAATTAATGTATTTTCTTTTAGAAAATGGAACTTTGTACCAATCCTAGTTTAGTAATCCCATATGGATCTCATTCTTCAGGGCAGTGTGGTTATTGTAAAAATAGTTCTAATGACAAAAAGACTAATTGGGGTAATGCTAAAATTATTTAGGAAAACACGTATTACAATGTTTATTTTATCAAAGGTATGATGGCTGAACGACTTACTGTTTCAGATTATCAATATATGATCGATCGAGGATGGCGTCGGTTATGTTATTTTTTCCAATTGTCGAAATAATTGTTTACAGATCAGGTACTTACTGTTATAAACCTTTAAATGATGTTACTTGTTGTCCATCATATACTATTCGATGTGATGCATTACATTTCCATTTAAAGAAATCACATAAAAGAGTGTTGAAAAATATGTACAATTTTTTAAAGTTTGGACAGTTACCTCATGAAAAAACATCTCATCAAAAAGAGGATCTTAATAATCTTAGAACGGATGATCATCGTATGTTTGTTCCTGAGGGAAAATCGATGCCTGTTTTATCATTTAAAAATGGTAAATTGATTATTATCTTTATGTCGGTAACTATATGTATTGTTCTGTTATCATTGTTTTAATTATAAACATACCGGTGTCATTCGTCGGTCATAATATTAGGTATGGTAAAATTATGCATGATTATTTTAATGAAGATAGCAGAAATCCTTGACTATTGGTATGAACTTGTGTTAGTAGGTCCTATTCTGCAAATCATTCTTTTCTCTTAAATCACACAATAACAGTTATTTCATTGTCATTGAAAACATACATGCGTTCAAACACTACATACCTCGACGTGTAATTTTGCCTGTAGTAGTAGGAAGTTGGACGGAATCTAGGGTTGCTCAGATCTAGACATTGCATCAATCCATAAAACGATTGGTTATTTAGCTGAGTGATGTTGGCATGTTCAGATAATCTGGTGTGAGTCCGCGCAATGACTGAGATTAATGGCTGAAGAGATCAGGTGTCATGGCACAGAATTGATTTTAATGCTGTTTTTGCATTCACTGTCTTCCCTTAGATATTAAGTTCCGAGATACTCTTTAACTTCTAAACTCATCCTCTTTTTGGTTGCATTTCCCAACATTTAATCTTCATTGCTACTGTGATTTAAACTTTTGTTGTTCATCTTGTTGTGTCAATGTGATGTCGCAACTTGGGCTGATACAGACTAGTCTCAAACTTTATTTTGGCCATGACTGACGTAACAACGTCACCTCATATGATATCAAAATTAAAAACGTTAAGTTGTCTAACTAAAGTCAGTCCGTGATGTAAAATTACAAATTTAACAATTTCTAAAGACCCTTCGCACTAATTATTGTTTATGCTTAACAATTCAATGTTAAACAGTCACCACAGTTCAACAGAATGAAGAGAAAACTAAAAACCAAACAAATATATATCAAACAGATTGTTTCGGCGATAAAATATCATCATCAACAGAAAATGCCCCTAGTACACCACATTGTACATTAAATACATCAAATGGTAGTAATAATAATAATAATGTGGAATTTCAAAGCATTCCATCAGGTGATAAAATTCAAAGTTCATCGTCGCATGGCAGTCACAAAATGAAAGCTCATCTTCGTCGTTGGATAGCTAAACAAGAACATTTACGTCATAGAAGCCTAAAAGAAAATCGTTCATTTGAAATTTTACTTCAGGTATTATTTTCTAGTATATTTTTCAGAAGAAGATATTATAAATTGATTTTATGTTGTGAAATTAAAGATAGCAGTTGACAAATAAGTTGTTTAACTAACTGTATACTGTGAACACACGACTTGTAATTCAGTAATTTACAGTTTGAACGCCGTTCATCAGTCTTTGATATGAAGTACAAAACATATGTTTACTGTGATCAACACTAAATGCGGCATTACATTTATGTACTCAACTTAGATTGGGTACAATGGGTAGTTGTGTATACTTATCAATGTAAATTAATTATGGGAAGTATATGTTTAAATCGTTCGAAGTAAGAGTAACAGCTCTTTTTACTGGTGTTACATTTTACTTGCTGGTTAGTGAGTTTCTGTAATCTGTTATTCATTGTCAACTATTGAGTAATCACATTGGAACCTTTTTATCTAACTTAGTGTAAAGAAGCGTACATCATGCAGATGTACATCTAGACTGCGGAAATATTTAAAAATATATCAAGAGACTAGAATATGCAGTAACAGTGTACTAGGCAACTGCTTTGATCTGCGCATGCTTGTTTGCGAACTATACTTTTGAGTTTAAACCATCTAGCTCTCAACTATTGGGTCGTTGGTTTCATACGTTACTTCACCTACTTTAGTTCAGTTAACTGTATATCAGTATGAGTAGTTTCCACCCACATACGATCAAGATCAGTTGTTGAAGTCTTTGGGTTACACGCCTCAGAGACACTTGATTATGGGTTTTGTGCCGTTTGATTCCCATCAGAGAGGTGTAGCTGTAATCTGGAGGGAAATGATACTCCGTCGCAGATTCGATCCCGTGTCATTCAGCTTTACGGTCTGTGACTACCACTGGTTTGTTAGGATCTCGGCTAATCTGTAGGATTGAGATATTTACGGTTTGTCAGTCACTGAGCAGTGACGAATATCGTGTTCGTCAATCCTTTCTTAGTGCTGATTAGATTCTATTTCAAAGTCTCCTGTCGATCACTTTCAATCACCTGATATACCAATAGGGTGCATCTAATCACATTGCAACTTGATCGATGTAATTCAATCAGTCTTAAAGGACCACACTAACATGACATTGATCAATACTCCAAAAATAAACCAATTGTAAGTGTTACTAACTTACTAAAGACAAACATTTTTCATTGTGGAAATTTTTCAATCGTTTCTCATTTGTTGTTGTTATTGCTACCAGGAGTACTATGAAAGACGTCAGAAACGTTTAGATAAAAATAAACCAAAGCAAGTCGAAGATTTTCTACAATCTGAACCAAACAAAGGAGAAGGAAAGCACTTTATCGAAGTATGTGTGCAAATTTTCGTTTTTTATGTTAATGGAAATAGATGATATTTATACCACTAATCCATGAAATTCGTAATTATTTACTTCACTTTATTCTGGTATGCTTTAACTGGTTGATGGTTTGTGAGAACGTCTGGGTTTCGAACTCGACACCCATTAATTCAAATCTTATACTGTTTTTTATTTTCATATCAATTAGCTTGTGGTCAAATTCTCTTGTATAGTTCGCGTTCACTCATTCATTATGTAGACATTGAAATTCAAATATAATCATGAACAACAGTTTCACTGGATTATAGACTTTCAAGATTGTATGATGACAAGCAGGTTTCCTAAATTTTAGATATTCATTATATATATGCCATAAACGCACTAAATGTTAAGTTTTCACACTTACGTTCAAGAAAATGCGATGCGTTCCGACATAAGTGTTCTCTCTGTGTGTTTAAAGCTTATTTCACTAAAGTTAATGATATTTATTACCCCCACTAGTTGAAGATCATAATAATGGATATTTTCAATTTCTACTGTTTACTGCTGCCAAATGTCCTGGCATGACTGAGGGTAAGGAGAGTCATCTCTCCCCTTCCAAATGCTCTCACATGGCCACGCGTATACAGCCACTACCAGGGAAGTTCTACTCACTACCTTCTCGCGGTGTGGTTGATGTTTACGAAACTGAGAAGACGAAAAGCGAATGCTCAGAGCTTTAATCGGGTCGGTGGATATGAAGGATCCACCTAGGATAGTTGAAAAACCCCGTCTCCAAACTGATGGTGTACATGGTATCCAGTATTCTGAGTGAGCAAACGGCGTATGGACCTATTGTTAGTTGAAAGAGTAATATTTCACTCTTATTTTGTGTAGTATTCGTTAGGCATTATATTTCACTTTGCTATTTCCGAATCATAATAAGAATCGGATGAGAACCTCATATATTTCAATAATCCGAACTACGAAGATATATCATTATAATTGGAGTATATATAAGATTTTCACAAGAATCTTCTAGTATACTTTAAACTTATCCACTAACTCTGACTGGTTGAAAATGGACCAACAATCTCATTCCGATTTGATCCTGATGCTGAAATGCAATATGTATATTCACGGCTCTATTGTTCTACATGTGAGGTAAATGTTTGCGTTTTATTATGGTTAGCGTTTTTTAGCGAGTTAGTTTTCTACGGGATGGGGTTGCTAACCCCATGCCCAACCCTCCTCCTTTACCCAGGCTTAGAACTGGCAGTAACTCTAGAAGAGCTACAGGCGAAGTTAAGGTAAATGTTTGAAGCAATGATAAACCACTTTACTATTTTATTTATCTTCATTTCATGTTTATCAATCTTTGTATATGATAATTATAATAGTAATATACTTTTGTAATTAATGATTCTCATATTATAGATTCGTTTAATACGTACATCTTCACCAACAGATAACGATTATGAATCTCGTATAAAATTATCTCATAGAATTTATGAACAATATCAAATTCATATACATAAAGATGAGAAAGAAGATTGTACTTGGGAGAAATTTCAACGTTTCTTAGTTAAATCTCCATTAGTATTGGTAAGAGATATAATAATAATAATAATAATAATAATAATAATAATAATAATAATAATAATAATAATAATAATAATAAAACTTCAAGATCCTGTTTTCAATCACAATGTGTGTGTGTGTCTGTTTAAGGGGATTGGGAACGCGATGATCAGTAGTATACAATGCTCTTCTGTGAATAGTTTTAAGATAGAATAAAGTTTCTATCTAATTCTGTTCATTTCTTACCGATTCTCTGGTTCAATATTATGTTGCTTGGTGTACAATCGTTCTGCATAATTTTATAATTAATCTCAATGATTGAGATTATGAGCCAATTGAAGTTAGACCACCATGGAAAACCTGGAAGCACTGGACAGCCGTCTCGTCCTACTGCGGGACTCCTCAGTAGTGCGCATCCACGATCCCGCCTCGCGTGTTTCCAACCTAAGACCTATCAGTCTCGTGCGCCAGCGCTTAACCCCTAAACCACAGCCGGCATCCAACGGTGGTAATGTCTAACTTCAACTAATCCACGAAATTGAGTGACATATTCACCATTGTCTTCAGTGAGTTACTATCTCACAACAGACCCGATTGAACTCCATTGGTGAGTGCTTCTCACTAGAACTTCAGGAAATACTCTTGAAGCCAGTCACTAGTGAGCATATGTTGAATAATATCAAAAGAGGAGGAGTCTCAGGTTTTTCATGGTGGTCTAGCTTCAATTGATTCATGATCTCAACTATTAAAATTACTATAATATCTACAAAAACCCCTTCTGATATTAGTTTTATAATTGTTCAAATTAGTTTTTAGTCTTTGTTAATAATAAATTGAAATTTTCTAGATGTGAACGGTTTTAATATATAATTACTTCTAATTACCCAATATTAGTTAAATTATAATAACATATTCACTCCTGTGGTTTATGGTTATCAAATTAAAACTTGACTGATATAATTCAATTAGTCTTAGGGAATAGACAACAAAACGTTGTTTACTATTCACTTATCGACCAGTGTATACATCCCAGTTTTACAGTAGCTCAGTAGTTATCGATATAGATATTGGCATTCAGTGATGCAAGCTTGAATTTCATATTATGTATCAGAATTCACCTTCCTCAAGGTTGTAGATTAACGTTCCAGATGAATAATATTAACCAGCTTAAAGCCTAAATTCAGAGTTTTCCTCTGATTAGTTTCAACTAACTGACAGTTAGAGAAGATACATGTTAATTCGATCATAATTTACTGACAGAATTTAAAATATATAATTTATATGCTATCTTAAAACTGTATATGTAACGATACCATTACACATTTATACCCAGTTTTCATCCAACTGTATCTGCTACTTTGAGGTGGTGGTTGGTCATGTCATTCGTGATGACCAGTCGAACTAGATTAGTAGGAAGCCTCGTTACGTTAAGTAATACTACACCAAAGAGGCCGGTCGGAGAGCAGTAAGTTTGAAATCAGCGAAACCAAGGTTCAAGAGTGACGCCGTACTACTGACTACAGTCGGGTGTAACGGAAGTAAGGTATTTCCCTCTGAAAAACCCACATCTACATTATAAAATGCCGACCCTAAAAATAGCTCACCTCAGGTTACCTCACAAATTTCCATCCCATGCAGTAAGGTTTGAATAATATAGAGCTGATATATCAAGAACTACTTTCTGAAAGACCGTATGTGACCTCCCTAAAGTAATTGTCCCTTGGGCTCTGCGACAACTCCTAGATTGACAAGATCACACTTAACGTAACTCGCTTCTCAGGTCCCTCAATAAGAAGTATACATCTACCATGTAAACGACTATCACTAACCGGCTGCCTACTTGTCTCTAACTGTATTCAAGACTACCTTGTTCAAAATAGAATACTGATGTATTGGAGGTCAAGTTTCACATACTTTTTTACTCAATAGTAAAACTTATCTATGACTGTAATCATCAACCATATATACTTGACGCTAAAACTATGAATGATTATTGTGTACAAATATTATTGATTAACATTCATGTGTGAATTTCTCGTCTATGACTGAATGACTTTTCTTAAAGGACGATTTTGAATGGAATTCAACTTCACCAATGTTTGGTTCTTATCATCAACAATATTGGCTTGATGGTGAAAAATTAATTGCTGTCGGTGTTATCGATCTACTTCCACGATGTCTTTCATCTGTTTATGTTTTCTATGATCCGAACTATTCATTTCTTCATCTTGGTACATATACTGCTTTACGGTGAGTCATTAAACACAGAGTTATTTTAAATAGTGTACTTCACTCACACCATATTCATGTCGATTAACTTGACTGCGAGTCGTGTTATACTGCTCGGGTACCCAGACCGAAGCAGGTGGTTTTCTTATAGGGCACGCCCGGAGCCTTTGATCTGAAGGTCTGATCCATAAGGCAGTGGAGCAACGTAAGGAAATGCAGTCCCATGGAAGCCGGTGACCAACAATTGGTTCATACGCCATTTGTTCACTCAGGATACTGGAGCCCATGTGCACCATTGGTTTAGAATCAGGGTTTTCCAACTCTCCTAGGTGGGTCCTTCATATCCACCGACCCGGTTAAAGCACCGGACATTCGCTTTTCGTCTTCTCAATTTCGTAAACATTACCCACACCGCGAGAAGGCAGTGAGTAGGACATTTCTTATTTGTTTATTTACCTGAACACATAAAAATTGGTACAAGGGTGCACCAAATTTATATGCGCCACACAAAACAATGAGAATTTGAAGAGAAGAAGGGAAAAAAAGGCAAGGAGAGTTGAAAAAGAACAATAACGAACAGATTAGTGTAAGGTAGTGTAATAATAATAATAATAATCGGGGAAACAGAAACATACAATCAGAAGAGATCTTTCAGTTATGGAAGAAGCAACCACTTTTTGTGGAGAAAGTAAGGGGTTACAGCAGGATCGCCACTGGCTTCTATTCTGAGCCATATCAGATAACGTCTCTAGCCACTGTGTCGCACCATCTCTCGGACCCCATCCAGGGAGTCGTGAAGGACCAAACAGAAGCCAGTCCTTTACAGCTTTCTTTCATACCACGACACCATGCCGAACATTGACCACGTCTCCAAATCCGACCAGTTCCAACATCCGCAGATAATGCACGACGTGGAATTCTCTGGGACGACATTCGTAGAACATGTCCAAGCCACCGAAGTCTGTGTTTCAAGATGGTGACACCAATTGCATTATCATCTCTGTGCCCGAACACACGATGCCGAACCTCTGCATTACTGACATGGTGTTGCCACTGGATGTCAGCAATTCTTCGGGGACAACGATGATCGAACACAGTGAGTCGTCTAACGTCCTCAACTAGGAGAGGTTAGGTTTCACAAGCATAGAGCAAAACTGCTCTCACCGACGCGTTGTAGATGCGACCTTGTACAGTCAAACTAACATCACAGTGGCGCCAAAGGTGGCCCAGAGTGGCATAAGTCACTCTGGCTTTCACTGTACGAGAATTTGCCTCATCACTCAGGCCACCACCAGCATTTATGTAGGTACCCAGATACACGAACTTCGACTATTTCTATCTGCTCACTACCCACAGTTAGTGCAGGATCAGGGTCCTGCAAACCTTATAAAAGTACTTTGCACTTCGAAGGTACAAAGCACATACCGTACATACGGAAAATGACTGCCAACTAATTAAGTGCGGATTGCATGGCTTATGTATCAGCGCACAGTAAGACAATATCATCCGCATACTTAAGGCTGAAAAGTCTCTCCAGGCAACAGATCCACACCGCCATTACTTACATCCATCAGAGCTGTTTCTAGAATGTCATTGATGGCAAAGTTGAAGCGGAATGGTGAGGCTGGGCAACCCTGTCTGACTCCACTGCTCGAATTGAAGCCTAGTGTTCAGAGCGTGCTAATGAGCTAGAAGCAGCAGCTGCATCTGGTAACTACCGAAAGCTCTTCCAACTCATCCGAGCTGTTATATCCGGTGAAGATTAAATTACAGGTAACTTCCGAGGACTATTCATGGACTAATATTCTATAAATATTCTTATTGTATAACTACTCAACAATTACACTATGTATATTTACATTCCTTTTATGATAAGCTTTATTTTGACCTATAATTTATTATTGTACGATTTACGGTTCTTAAGTTATGTTCAGTTTATCAACTACTGCCTCCCACATTCACAGCCACTTTTTGGGCTTATTTGTGTACAAATATTATTTCCTATTTTATGGTACGTTGCGGTCTGTGTGATTGATATATAAACCAAGTATGCATGAAATAAACGATTCGATTCGATTTATATTCGGAAGCTGGTGTTGTGTTCTGTACTCAAGTGGAAGGGCTCGTAGGACATAGGACCAATAAGGACGCTAAACTGTTCACACCGGTTGAACGTCATTGGTTGGCCTAGTGTGAAGATTCGTATAAGTCGTACTCGGATTGGTAGATAAGTCGTGTGATAGAAAAACCAGACATCCAAGACCATAACACGAGCCACTGGCAGCAAGAAGTCTAGTGTGAGTGAAACAATCTGTGAAGATGACGGGATGCCACCAGATCCCAGTGGAGGAAGAAATCAGGAAGGGGCGCTGGGAGTGGATAGGATACACATTGAGGAATGCACCCAACTGCGTCACAAGGCAAGCCCTTACATGGAATCCTCAAGGCCAAAGGAGGAGAAGAGGACCAAATAACACATTACACTGAGAAATGGAGACCGATACGAGAAGAATGAACAAGAATTGAATAGAACTAGAAAGATTGGTGCAGAATATTATGAATTCATTTTATTTAGTTAGGTTCTCATCAGCTGCTTACAACCTAAATTTTTTTAAAATTCAACATTATTACAGATATTGACATACTTATACATAATAGGGTGATTAAGGATGAATAAATGTATCATGCTGTAGCGAAGATTCCGATAGAGTTAATGAAGTCATATAATTTTGTCTCGAACAAATAAAGTTTGAGAGGGAAAGTTCCGGAACATTGAAATAGTGATTAGAACTCATGAAAATAGATTAATGGTAATAAAGAAACTACATGAATAGAAATCAATCAGTTATGTATGATGTAATTTATATTTCAGAAAGAGTTGCAATAATGACGTAATAAATAAATAGAGAAATAAATGAATAAAAAGGAGGGGGTTATTGTTACCAGGGTAAAGAAAGATTTATTACTGTCTTTTTTTGTATACATAGGTCTGGTGTTAGACGTTTGATTGCTAATGCTTCGGCAAATTTCAAAAGGTTAGAGTTTGATTGTTTGTTAATCACCTTGAAGGACTTCAGTGTATCGAATTCGTGTCCTGTGTCAAAGAGATGTTTTGCAATGGCACTGTTGAATACTTTCAATCCATTTGATGTTAAACTTTTCGGAATATGTTCTTTGAATCGGACGTAGGCTCTCCTTTCTGTTCTACCAATGTAACTGCTTTGGCAGATACATGTGAATTTGTATACACAGTTGGTGGTAACATGAAAGGGATACTTGTCGACCCTTTCTGGTGCTTTTCACTTCTTAAATAAATTGTAATGTGATATATATATATATATATATATATATATATATATATATATATATATATATATATATATATATATATATATATATATATATATATATATAACTTCAATCATTTGTTCATACTAAAGTCGAGTTGTAGTGTAATTATTCCAGTATATTCAGTACAGAGATTAGAATCGTAGAACTAAAAACAATCGATTTAGATTGAAATGCAGCCACTCTACTTCAAAAAAATAGAAAAAAACTCATATTACCTAGTACACATATAGGCAGTGAGAATGTTGAGGTACTCACAAAAATATTGCGATAAAACAACTCTCTAGTAACTCAAAATGCGATCGAGGGTGGGGGATGTCAGCTCTCCCGCTCCAAATGCTCTCACATGGCTACGCGTATACAGAAACTGACAGAAATAACCTACTCACTGCCTTCTCGTGGCAAGGGTGTTGTTTATGAAAATGAGAGGATGAAAAGAGAATGTCCGGCGCTTTAACCGGATTCCAAACCAATGGTGCACATGGGCTGGCTCCAGTATCCTGCGGGAACAAATGGCGTATGAACCAATTGTTGATCACTGGCTACCATGAGACTGCATCTCCTTACGTTGCTCCACTGACTTGTGGGTCAGACCTTTAGGTCAAAGGCTCGGGGTGTGGCCCCTAAGAAAACCACCTGTTTCGGTCTGGGTAGCCGGACAGTATCACAGTCCACATACAAATAGAATGAAATGCCGATACTTACTGAAAATACTATTCTCGCTTCGATTAAAAGTCAAACAATTCACATTATTATTATTTTTTAACTACGTCACTTATTCACTCTCTTTTATTCCCACTTTGTGTATCCTTATTTTTCGACTTATACAGCAGCTCGCCTATTGTGGAAACTCGGTCCTATCTAAACGATCTAGAGTCACTGACTGGTTGAAAATTGAATGCTACCACCAAATACGAATACTGAAATAGCTTTTCTGAAACCACTTCACTATCCAAACTGGCTGCCTTCAGCGTTCGCACACTAATGCAGGTCGGACAACAGATAGTGTTGGTTACGTCTTTAGAAAGCTTTAATATCGATGTTTATTGTCTATCAGAGACCCGTATTCAGGACTCTGATGAAGTACTACAAATTCGATCTCCCTCTGTCACTTCAAAAAGCTTGTTTTACGTGCGTTTATCCGGGGACCCTGTGGCATCTTCGTCTGGTCTTGCAGGCGTTGGTGTCGCACTAAGCGCTAGAGCTGAGGCAGCACTAATCAATTGGATCCCTATTAACAGTCGGTTATGTGCTGTTAGATTAGAGAGTTCCATCAAAGTGAGAAGAAATCGGCGTGAGAAACGTTGTCTTTTCATCATCTCCGCCTATGTCCCGACAGATTGCAGCCCGGATGCAATCAAGGATGAATTCTACCACCACATACGCACGTGCATCAATCGTTTTACAAGATGGCCCGAAGTCAAGGGCGGTGTAGTCCGCTGATCCGGACGTGAGACTGAAGTCTCGTCCGTAGATGGTGCAGATGACACGTGCTGTTGACCGGGACGTGAGAATTAGGTCTTTGATGTATCTAGTGTGGGACCTGAAGTAGATGTAAGGATCTCACTAGTAGGTTTGATAGGTCTAGCATTGGGTCTCAAGTTATCGATTAAGGCACTGTCATCGACGTGTGCTGGTTTGAGACTGTCAATGCTGACGATCTCGACGCGGCCATGTCGATCAACTTTGAAGGTCTTTTCGAAATCATTACTGCTCCGTGGTGTGAAAAATTCCCCAGGCAGACGCAATGTCGTGCCGTATACAAGTTCAGCGGCGGAAAATTGAATATCTGCCTTTAAGCTCGTTCTGATACCTAAGAGGACGAGCGGTAAGGTTTCGTACCAATTGTCGTTTTCGTGTGCTCGAAGAGCACTTTTAAGCTGGCGATGAAACCGTTCAACTAAACCATTCGATGCTGGGTGATGAGCGGTAGTGCGTATGCATTTCTTACCAAGCAGCCGGGTCAGTGAGGAGAATAATGTGGACTCGAATTGTTGTCCTCGGTCAGTCGTGACAGTCGAAGGACAACCGTGCAGCGCTATCCATCGTTCTACGAAGCGGTGAGCAACCGTCTCCGCCGTAATAGACGTGATGGTAATAGCTTCGGGCCATCTTGTAAAACGATCGATGCACGTGAGTATGTGATCATACCCGTGCGATGGTGGCAATGGTCCCACAATGCCTATATGGACGTGATCGAAGCGAGCATCAGGCGTAGCGAACGTGTCAATGGGGGCAGCTACATGCCTGTGCACTTTTGATCGTTGACATTGTAAGAATTGCTTTACCCACATAAGGACATCTCTATTCATGGACGGCCAGACGTATCGTGCAGCGATGAGACGTAACTTAGCTGCGATACCTGGATGAGACAATCCATGCAGGGCATCGAAGACGAGACGACGGTAAGCAGAGGGTACGATGGGTCGGGGAAGACCGGTAGAAGTATCACATAGGATAGTACCTGAGCTAGTAGCTAGGGGTACTTCCTGGCACTGAAGGGATGTAGATTTTGGTGCTTCTCTAAAAAAAGATCGTTTGCTTGAGCGGCAACCATAGCAGGAAGATCGAGCACCTGTGAAGTAACTGCATTCACTTGGATACGTGACAGAGCGTCAGCAACATAGTTCGACTCGCCTTCGCCATCTTCCAAGCCACGCCGAAAGCCGGCTTCGGAAGCGAGTGGAGGTTGGTGCTGGTTCCACCGATCCTTCGGGTCTTGTTCCCACCATTGTCGGGCCCCGTGCTCATACAAGGCGGGAAACTCCAAGGTCGGCGAGTAAAAGCAGCCGTACTCCCCGGCCCCTTCGCCAGGTTAGCCGTTTATTCTATGTGCACGATTATCGCACAAACGCTAGGTACCTAGTGGACACTGGGGCCCAAGTTTCTGTCGTACCCCTTGGTAACAGCAAGTCACAAGCTGCAACGCTTCGACTACGCGCTGCGAATGGCTCAGCCATTCCTACCTAGGGTACACGACAACTCGCGGTCAACCTGGGCAACGGACGACGGTATCTGTGGATGTTCACCATTGTCGATGTTCCCACAGCCATACTAGGAATTGATTTCCTACAGCACTACGAACCGCTAGTTGATTCACGTAGGCTGCAGCTAATCGATACTTCGTCGAACAGCAAACGCGTACCGAATCCTAGGCACCTTTTATTCGCGTGACGATACATTCCACGCTTTATTCGAGGAATTCCCCATATGAACTAAACCACTCGGGGAGATTTCATCGGTGACCGATCACGTGGTACACCACATAGTCACCCGCGGATCCCCAATCACGGCAAGACCACGCCGACTGGCACCGTACAAGTTAGCTTTCGCTAGACGTGAGTTCGACAATTTACTAGCTACTGGTATTATTCGTCCTCCTCACAGTCCATGGACCTCTCCTCTTCACATGGTGCGCAAAAAAGATGGGGTTAGTTGGAGACCATGCGGCGACTACCGAGCTTTAAACGTAGTTACGCGCTTTGATAGCTACCCCATCCCCCACATACACGACATCACGGCATCACTCAAGGGCACGACCATCTTTTCTAAGATCGATCTGGTACGAGCATATCATCAGATCCCAGTCGCTCTTGAAGATATCGAAAAAACTGCTATCACGACTCCTTTCGGCTTGTTTGAGTTCCTACGAATGCCATTTGGATTACGGAATGCTGCTCAAACTTTCCAAAGGTTTATCGATAGAATAGTACGAGACTTAGACTTTGTTCACGTCTATATTGATGACCTGCTAATCGCATCATCAAACGTAGATGAACGTTATCAACATCTTACACTCTTATTCCAACGTCTCTCGGATAATGGAATAGTAGTCAACCCAGACAAGTGTGAATTGAGCAAATCGGAGATAATGTTTTTAGGTCACATCATTAAGCAAGAGGGTATTTTACCTTGTGAGGACAAAGTACGCGCAATAAGAGAGTACACTATACCGTCCACGCTCAAGGAACTGAAGGCATTTCTTGGTTTGGTTAACTTCTACCGACGTTTCATCCCACACGCGGCAGAACGGTTACGACCATTAACCGATTTATTCCGCGGTAATCCACGTAAATTAGAATTGAACGATGCCGCACGTACTGCATTTTCAGAGATCAAAACGGCTCTGGCTCAAGTTACACTCCTCGCTCATCCTGATCCATCAGCCACGCTTAGTATAGCGGTTGATGCATCGGATTTCGCTATAGTAGCCGTTATGCAACAGAACATCTTCGGTAGTTGGCAACCTCTCAAATTTTTTCTCACGACGCCTTACTCCCACGGAGACGAGATATAGCGCTTTTGGTCGAGAGCTGCTGGCAGCCTACTGTGCCATCAAACGTTTCCGGCACACATTAGAAGGTCGCCATTTCATCTTATTCACTGACCACAAGCCTTTAACGTGTGCTCTGCATACCAAGTCTGATCGTTACTCACCTCGAGAATGCAGACATTTGGACTATATCTCTCAGTTCACGACAGACCTTCGTCAAATCAAAGGCGAGTCGAACTATGTTGCTGACGCTCTGTCACGTATCCAAGTGAATGCAGTTACTTCACAGGTGCTCGATCTTCCTGCTATGGTTGCCGCTCAAGCAAACGATCTTTTTTTTAGAGAAGCACCAAAATCTACATCCCTTCAGTGCCAGGAAGTACCCCTAGCTACTAGCTCAGGTACTATCCTATGTGATACTTCTACCGGTCTTCCCCGACCCATCGTACCCTCTGCTTACCGTCGTCTCGTCTTCGATGCCCTGCATGGATTGTCTCATCCAGGTATCGCATAGATAATTGTTAATAAACAGTTGTATCTTCTGGATGAAGGCTTTCGTAGTTCTCCAGTTTTCCGCCTCATACAGTAGAACTGTGTTGACATTTGTATTGAAAATTCTGAGTTTGGTGTTGATTGTTAGAGTGTTGTTTTGAGTTCCAGATATTCTTCGGTTGTAAATATGCTGCTCTTGCTTTGCTGATCTATGCCTGCACACCTGAATCAGATCCACCGTGTTCATCAATGATGCTGCCCAAATATGTAAATGTTATTACATCTTCCAAAGCTTCTCCGTCAAGTGTGATTTGATAGGTGTATACTGTGTCGTATCAGAGAATTTTACTTTTCCCTTTATGTATATTGAGATCTACTGCTGCTACTTCACTGTTCGTCTTCTCTTGTACTTGTTGTTGTGTGTGTGCGATAAAAGAGTCAAATCATCTGCAAAGTCTAGATTATCCAGCTTCATCCTAGCTATCTACTTAATCCCATGTCCCCCCCTCCTAGATATTGACATCTTCATAATCTAGTCGATCACCAGTAGAAATCAATTACTATAATTACTAGGCTATTCATTTTTATTATTTCTATGCACAATTCACATGAGAACTACTATTCGTTACTTCTTTTTCAATTGTTTTTTTTCTCTTGTTTCCTAGTGAAATTGCATTTGTTCGTTATTTATCTAATACTTATGGTTTAAATTCAATTCAATCCGATGTATTATATCAAAATTTTAATTCATATTATATGGGTTATTATATTCATTCATGTTGTAAAATGTCATATAAATCACAATATGGTCCTGCTTATTTAGCATGTTCTGAAACCTATAATTGGATACCTATTAATCATTGTATACAATTATTAAATCAATTAAAGTTAAATAATCATTATACAAGATTTTCATCTCTATCTTCAATTGATATAAATTCAATTCCTGTTACTATGGATATAGATACATTAGATTCACATATTTATTTTTATATAAAGTACAATGATAATACATCATCATCGTCATCGTCATCGTCGAAGACAATCAGTAGTAAAGAAGATTTCATGAATCATACACCAGTATCTCTTTATAATTTACGTTCATATTTAAATAAACAAGTTATTCCTATATTTCGTGAATGGGCTAAATTATTAGGTAAACGTGTATTATCTGGACATTTTCAAATTATTATACATTCGAATTAATAATAATAATAATATGATGATGATGATAATAATAATAATGGTTACCATGGTGATCACAACTAATGTGAAGAATAAATAGACAATAATACTTGGTAAGGATTATGTTTGATAATTATTTATTTATTTATTATTATTATTATTATTATTGCTACTTAATTAATATTTTTTTATCGCTGAACTGATGTCATTTCCCCACGCCACGCCACCCTACCCCCCGAAAAAAATAACGATCATCATTATACATGAAAAAAGAAACCAGGCATTTTTGGCAATATAATTATGTTATTGTGTTTCATTTTAAAACGATATCCATTTTTTCTTTGTAAACTAATTCATACATATACCGCGGTCTATATCAACAGTAGTAGTAGTTAATGAATCACTTACAGAAGTGTAAATGATATTGTAGTGTATACTACTGATATCGATAGATATAAGTAGTAGGTATCATCAATAGACAGTGAAATACTTGATGGCAGATGGTTAAGAAGAGAACGAGAACAGAGAATGATTGATATGGAAATGAAGGGACAATGAAGTTTGAGACGATTAATTGACATTTTACAAATACAGTATTTATTGTATGGTTCTTAGATTCCGTAATTTTATATTCAAATACATTTGGTTGTTCCTATTTGTGTTCTCGTTCATTACAATAGAAGTATTTACAGTACGAAATTGTTTTGAATGTTATACGTGATTATTAAATGGTGAAACACGCCAAATAAATAATTAAGTTAACATATGTACTATCTTTTTTACGATATACGATTAAATAAATCCGTTGGTGGATACGGAAGATTCTTACGTTATTTATTTATTTATTTATTTTAACACTTAGATATTGGTACAAGGAGGCATCAAATACATATGCGCCACATAAATCATTCGATTTGTGTGAGTACTGGGATACTACCCGGGTGACCAAACCGAAGCAGGCGGTTTTCTTAGGGGACCACTCTCCGAGCCTTCGACCTGAAGGTCTGATCCACAAGGCAGTGGAGCATCGTAAAGAGATGCAGTCCCATGGAAGCCGGTGACCAACAATTAGTTCATGCACCATTTGTTCCTTCAGGATACTGGAGCCCATGTGCACCATTGGTTTGGAATCCGGTTAAAGCACCGGACATTCTCTTTTCGTCCTCTCATTTTCGTAAACAACACCAGTGATGCGAGAAAGAAGTGAGTAGGACTTCCCTGGCACAGGTTGTATACGCATGGCCGTGTGAGAGCATTTCGAGAGGGAGGGCGGGCCCACCCCACTCTCGGCCGCTCTAGGGCATTTGGGGCATTGCATATTTTGTACGCTGCCAACTAAAAACATGAATAAAACTTCATTTTCTGTGAACAAACATTTGTAAATTTTCCATGCTAATCAGTGGCGTGTGTGTGCCGTCAAAACGGCGTATACATAGTAATTATTGTACATCATGTATCAACATAATGCCATTAACCTATTAAGAATTTAATAGTGCACTTTTTCCCTGCTTAGTGACTCCCTAACTGCCTAATATGGCAGCTGGTTCAAACATACTGAGTGTGGGACAAAGTATATTATTATTCACAGACATCTTATGGGTGCATAAGTGTTGTGAAGAAACCATTTCGTGTTTCTACAAAAATGCAATAATACACAAGTTCCAATAACGTTAGCATTATATCTTAAATGTCAAGTTGATAAAAGGTTCCTGGAGGAGTATCTGGACTGAGGTTACAAATCGGTTGGGATTTATGGGCGAGTAATTACTAAGTTCTGTACAAAATTTCTGTATATGTACTTCGTCAGAAGTACTACAAATGATGAACGATTTCTAGAAGATTTACGCCTAGATCATTTTGAAATCAAGATAAAAGAATTACTCGATATCATATGACTTGTTTAACAAACCAGTCGAAGTGTGTGCAATTATTTGTGACGACGATCAAACCTGAAAAGGTAACTAGTCGGAATAGGGCCACTAGGATGAGCGTAGTTGGGGCTTTGGGAATTAGCGTATCGGACTCATGAAGAAAATAGATCGCGAAATGTCTAGATACCGTAGGTTAATTACATTTCAGTTGAGGAAGTAGTCGTATAATGGAATTTCCGCTAAAAATATTACTTGCTTACATGCTTTGAAAATAGATTGTTGTAAATGGTATCCTACTCACATAGTAATGTATATATGGTCCTTGTTTTGGGGTCGAAACACCGAAAAGCCTTAGTATATTTACTCCAAAAGATTGGTCCATCTGGAAAGCTTTATTAAATGTTGTGATTATATATTTGGTGAACTGCTTCAGGTGTAGGTTGAACAATTACGTACACCTAGAAAGACCGCCACCTTATCAATGGATGGTTGGAAATTTAGTGTTTAGAAACAAGCTCCTGAGAACGAACAAATAACTGGGTTGGACACCAAATACATATTTATTAGGGAAAAGCGTTTAACAATCGTCTCCGAATATAAGTATTACACTACAAATCATTTCAACAATTTAACCGATAAACCAGCCAAATAAAAGTTCATGAATTCAAATAGTCAACGGATTTGGTGTTGTATTTTATATTCGCTCCAGCTTTGCCAAATATCTTATATTTCTCTTCTGTATTGAGGATTTGGGATTCGAACGAAAAGAATTTGTTGATCTTAGAGACTATTACAAATAACTACAAGACTAACGATTGAATTAGCACTTCTCTTAATATCAATGTGGTTGGCTCAGAATGAAAATTACACAGATACATTAACGTTTGTTAAAAGGTATTCGTCATATTACTAACAAAGAATAAGAAAAAGAGGATTCAGCGAAGAAAGTTTTCTTTTCGACGAAATCATTTACTTAAACTGTACATTCGTATATATAGTTAGATATGGAAAATGTATGTCTATAGGAGGATAGAAAAAATTGCATCACAAAAATAGATTCAAGGATAAATAACAAATGAAGTTAACGTACTAATCAAGGGGTAAGGAAAAAAATCGTTGATAATATTTGATCTTGTCAAATTCTCTAAAAAAAACCGTTCGAAAAGACACAACTGAAAAAAAAAACGGAATTGTTGCTGATTAGAATACCAAGGAAGATGAATGATGAGTCTAATATTAATTATAACCTCTTTAAATATGTTAAACCTTCTGGTTCCGTTGTACTAAGATTATATGGACTCCAAAAAGTTCATAAGAATAATGTCCCTCTACGTCCTATACTTAATATGAACAAGTCTCTATGTCACTTGATTGCTAAATGGTTAGTGGACATTTCACAGTATGTTAAAAATCATATCAATAAATATAACTCTCTTGATCCCTTTGACTTTGTCGAATCAATCAAAAATGTCAACGTAATTGGTAAGAAAATGATCTCATTAGATGTCACTTCGCGTTTTACAAATGTTCCTCTCACAGAAACTATATGTTTTTTATGTGACTATATTGAAAACAACAACCATGATATATGTATCCCTAAACATTATCTAAAAGAATTACTTCTACGATGTACGCTCAACGTGTAGTTTAGATTTAATGATGACTTCTATAGACAAACAGATGGAGTTGCAATGGGTTCTTCATTGGACCCTCTCTTGGCAGATTGCTTCATGGCCAATCTGGAAAATTATGTACTTCGTCCAATAATTGAGAGATTTCATCTACATAAGAGATATATGGATGATATTTTCATTATTTGTGAAGAAGGCATTGACCTAGATGAAATTTTGAAAAGTTTCAATAACTACCTCCCCTCAATTCAATTCACCTTAGAAGCAGAGGCAAATAATGAATTTCATTTTCTTGATGTCCGATTAAAAAGAATGCCTGATGGTTTTTTACAGTGATCTATATATAGAAAACCTACTTGGAATGGGCAGTACACTAATTTCCATAGTTGGGTTTCATTGAGTAGAAAGAGGAACTTAATTCACTCTTTATCCTCTAGGATCAAGCGAATCTGTTCTACTGACACAATAGATGAGGAACTAATTCAACTTCGCCAAACTTTCATCAGAAACGGTTATTCACCTAGATTTGTCGATAGTAACTTAACACCTAGAATTCGTCATGAGAAAGTATCGACAGTACAAAAGAAAACCCTCTTCATAAATATGGAATTTAAAGGAGACACGGCTGCTGAAATCTTAAATAAACGGATTTCGAAATCATTGAATAAAACTTTCTACACAGCCAAGCTCCGAATTGTTTTCTCAAGCCGGCTTACCATTCCTGGATGTGTGAAAGATAAACTTTGCTTTGGGCCACATCAATATGTATTTTTAAATTTACGTGCTCATGTGGGGCTCGTTATATAGGCCAAACAAAGTGATCACTTTCCAAACTCATTTCAGAACACTATCCAGCTTGGCTTTTAAAAGGAGAATGTAAGACAATCACTAGTTCTATACAGGAGCATTTAATCTATTTTGGACACACCGCTCCCAAGTATTCTTTTAAAGTGATCTATAGAGTCAAAGGGATTGAATCGAAGGGGTGTCGAATCAATATTTTATGCACTGCTGAGGCACTGGCAATTCACGAACTCAGGTCCGAACTTTGTGTGTAGAAACGATTCGTCCAACCTCTCACCCTTCCTTAACCCTAATTTCTTTAATGGGTATGTTTCGGTTTTTGTTTTGTTTTTTCTGCACTTTTATTTGATTGTTATCGAATTTTTTTAAAAAAATTACTATTTTGCATTTTAAACTCTAATTGGTGGTTATTATTACCCTATACAAGTTTTCTTGAGTATTATTTAGTCTATTATTATGACCTTTGTGTTTGTCGCTTTTCTTCATATTCGTCAATTGGACTATTATCTGACCCATAAACGATTTCCTTCTCCTTACCCCTTGGTTAGTACGTAACCTCATATGTTATTTATTGGTGATGCAATATTTCCTGTCCTACTATAGACATACATTTTCCGTATCTAAATCTATATACGAATGTACAGTTTAAGTAAATGATTTTGTCGATAATAAAGAATAAATGAATTAAGACTGCTAGTTACTATTTATGGACTATCATTTGATACATCTTTTTTTTGTATAATTATTAACTAACGAGACTATATACATATTACTTTTATTATGAGATTTCATTTAACCTATTGAATATTATTATAAGATTTGCTATCCTTAAGTTATTCCTTATTTATTAGTTAAAGTCTCTTACATTCACAGTCACTTTTGATTTGATCTTGTATAATTGTTATTTTCTATTTTATGTTATGATGCGGTGGTCTGAGTTGCTTGTATATAAACCATGTATGTCTGAAATGTGATTCATACGGTGGAGGCTGAGATTGTGTTTTGGATTCAGTGGACAGGGCAAGGCAAGAAGAACCAATGAGGATTTAGAGTTGCCTATAGGCTGCTCGTACTGATTAACGCGTCATTGGTTTGGCAGTGTCGAGGTCTTTAGTGGCCCGTAGATCTGACTCCATCTAGATCGTATGAATGTTTGTTATCGTCCATTCTGGTATATAATCGTCAACTTAAATCGCGTTAGTCAATAACGGGATTAAATAAGTCGAATAACGAGAATGGACTTCTGAATACATATATTTTGTATATGAAGCGAATGGAATAGAAAAAGGAGAAACGACGCGGTGTGGAGATGGCAGGTAAGCCAGCTCCCATTTAACTAAACGTTAATCAATATTTATAAATTACACAAAAGTAAGTTACAGACATGTGATGAGTAATGGGATAAAAAATGTACACACACCTACGCGCTCATATAAAAACAGTCAAGATTGATAAGCGAATAAATTACTAGATCAGAATGTGACTCAAGTAGAATGAATAAAATAGGCTGTCCGAAAGCTAGAATAAGATATATGGGCTTAACATAATGACCGACACTACAGGTCACATAACTCGGCGTTACAACGTGATATTCGACGTGGCTTAGGGCGTAATAGGATTCATAAATAAAGTTCGATCGGTTATACAGTCGATTATCGCCGTGTTCACTCTAGTCAAAGACCGACTATAATTAATGTCACGGAGGTGTTATGAGCAAGCACTTTATTTTATCTGGAGTATCCACATACGAGTAAAATGTATCGCAAACAAGTAAAACCAATTTCCAAACCACAGCAAATAATGAAATTTTTATTTAAGTACAATAAGTTTTAGTCACTAGTACAAAAATGTCTAGTTGATACCATTCTTTATTACAATTGCCTTACACAACAATAACAACAACAAATGACATTCGTACTATCGTTCGATATTCACACAGGTGCTGAAATTCGATTATCAATTGGAAAGTGACAGATACAACACTAGTTACACATTGTAGCGGTAAATAAATCCCCAAAACTAGTTGATCTTTTATTTTCTCCAATGAGAATGGATGTGAACTCTTACAGGAGTAGACTTATAAACGCAATACGTCCAGTTCAACCTGTTTTACTAAATAGTACAGGTATTTTCGTACATCACTATTCATTGCTACGACCTCGAGACGGTTATGGAGGACCCTTAGCAGTCCTTCATCGCATACCTAAATATCGTATCATCGATAAAAACCGAACTTGTGGTGATGTCAGCATTGGACTTCTTCAAGTCGCGTATTTGAAGGCAAACTTCATTGGCATTTGACAACCGACCCAAAACAACGTGCTCTGATAGAAGTTTGAAGTTTCAAGAACACTTGACTGACTAGTGAGATACTGGATAAATGTTTGTCTTATCACAGGGAGTGAGTTTTTTTGGTAAATAAGCAACCAAAATAACTACTGTGAAACCTCAGGACTGATGTTGGCCTCATTAATTTTAATGAGCACACCTAGACTCAGGGCGCTCGGTCACGTGTCCGCACCGATCACGGGTAGGTATGCCGTGCTACGCATAGTATGAAACTGCTAGTTAACTTTGACCAAGAGGTTCTCGATGCATTGCGAAATTCACAAACATATCTTCGAACCCTCTTGTTTCTGATTTGACTGGGTTGGTATACTTTGGTTATAAAGATGTTACATGTAACGGCTTTGTCACACTTCGAATACTTCTCGCATTTTAAAATTTACATCCTCTTAACTTCGTACATATTTTGTCGACATGTCATCTTTAGAATCACAGTAAATCAACAGCGTTTTAACTACTATATTCCAAACATTTGTTAATGCATACAAGCGGCTAAACTGCAGTGGTATTTAGGTTATCCTGTACACTTACAGTACCTTGAGCATACAACCTGTCGAGACAACAGAAAACGAATCAGAGCCATGTGAACTGGCGAACTACTGGCTGAAATGTAAACGACGAGATATTGATATATTTGTAGTATACCGCACTTTAGAATACTTACTCCTAAGCAAACCTAAATCCTGGGGAAACAGGGGTAAGGGCCTTATTGTAGGTGACTCGAAGAGGAAGCTCTGAAGTAAAATCATGAACAACAGCATTTTAGTGTAAATTATTAGAAAACATAATTCCCTTAGCTTTGTTACAGTACGTTAGTAACCTCACCAGACATGACCCATAAAAATTCTCGTCTCTCTTTCATGTAGTCCTCACACATAGTCAGTCAAATAACCTTTTCACCTACTGCAGAATCGATTATGCGATTATCTTATTGAAGCTCATATCTGAGATGGTCCGTCAGTTGCGCTGGCTCGTCCTAAGATATGGAAGGCAAACATGTAAACGATCATATCTGTAGCCTCGACTGAAAGCTGGATAATTGACTCAGGGACATCGGTAGAACAGGTATGAACCTATATTCGGCAGTTTCTCAATCAAGTAACCCAACTACTTATACCTTGGACATTTCCGAAGAAGACGATGCACGGCCGTCCCTGGATAAGCCGGGATATTCAACGTTTACTAGGACGAAATAAGGAATGTTGGAACAAAGACATCAAACTTAGCACAGCTTGTACGGTGGAATGCTAAAAGTTGGGCCGAGCCAAGCGTATAAATACAAGCGGGGCAGCTCAGCGATGATTGTTATTATTCATAAACAGCTTATAGCTATATAAGTGGCGTGAAGAAACCATTCAGAAATGCAATAATACATAAGTTCCAATAATGTTAGCATAATATTTGCCCTATCTAAAAAACCGTCTCCGTGTAGTTGAGAAGAAAATCAAATTGAATTTTTTTGGAACCATTTGGGAGGGTGTTATTTCTACTCGCTGGGTAGATTCTGTTTTCATCTTTTTATTACGTTTCAAGACTACTGTTTACACTTTAACTGGATTTATTTCGGTTAAAGCATCCGGCTAGAGTATCGTTTTTGTTTCTAAAGCAGTTTATCGTCGGTACTTTTGAGTACATTATTCTCTATTTTATTTGTTAGTACTTCTAGTTCTAACAATTTACAGTTTTCCACTTTCTCGGTCATAGATTGTTCTGTATCTGGGCACTTTTGTATCTACTTTCTTTTCAAAAATCTCTGTTCGATGACTGGGCAGTGCAAGTAAAGCAATTGCCGATATCCCGTTTAAAGCTGCATTCAATGCGATTGGTGCAAAGACTAGTACCACGAAGTTTACATGAATTTGACGCCTGCGGCTTTCAAGCGGTTTGGTACAAACGGTTGCGTATGGCTTTGCCAGCAGTGCTGTTGGGACGCAAACAACTTGTTAACCGAGGCCATTTCAATTGTAAACGCTGCAAAAATGTGTTTTAGCAAGAGAAGTCGCGATATATCGAGCAGCACTCGCTCTGTCGACACGCAAATTGGTGTGAAGCCACCTCAACTGAGCTCGCAAACAGCTGACTCGCATCGATCAAAGGAGGAAAGACCGTCTTCAATGAGGTCTGTCTAAATTAAAAACGCGAGAAAAGAAGTTTCCTCTGTCCTACGACCTCAAAATGAGATCCAGCAGGAGGTCCCTAAGAATCGCAGTTGCAGGGCTCGAACAGTTTCTAGCAGGAAACACAGGCTGACTCCCCAAGTCGTTGACGACCATTCGGAATCCCACATTATGTTTGACGCCACTGTAGTTGCTACTCCAACCAAGGTTGACATATGGGTACAGGTTGGAAGCATGAGACGACATGACGATGTAAAAAGGAATCCTACCCCCATGAAAGTAGTCGAGAAATCGAAGGCTGATCACAGTGACAGGTCAGTTTTTTCATGGGATCAGGGTGAGTGAAAGCTCTGAACTGAAACCTCGTTTTGAGCATGACATTGTTCTGATAAAACAGGTACTTAATCAATTTGTGCCTCAAAATATCTCCGGAGTCACCTAGCTAATTGTGTACAGACTAGGTAGTCAAGAGAATTTGAAGCCTAATCAATCCAGACTGCTTAAAGTAGTATTCAAATCTTCGAATGAACGCGCCTTTATTTCACAGAATGGACATAGACTAAAGGGTTCAGGAGTTTTTGTTTGTAAGTGCTTGTCGCTGGTAGACTGTGTAAAAAGACGGGAAGCCGGAAAAGATCTACAACCTGGGTCAGACTTTGGCGAAAAGGACCTTAAAACTGGTAATTCTCGGGTTGTAAGGCTTTGACAGAGAATGATGCTGAAGCCACTCTGGGTGAAGCACGAAGCCATCCAAATAGCCTTCGGATCTGTTACACTAATGCCCGGAGTTTGCTCAATAAGCGATCGGAACTTGGTGTACAGATTGACTCTACAAAGCCAGACATAACCGCAGTTACAGAAACCTGGCTGACACAGGCTATAGATAGTATGGAACTTGATTTCGAGGGTTTTACGTTAGTAAGAGCCGACAGAATACAAAAGCGTAAAGGAGGCAAGGTATAAACGGTAATCCCTTTCAAATCTGTCCGCCGTTTCGTTTCAACGACCTTGAACGCGCTGACTGGAAGCGGGCATTCCGTATTTCAATTGCCGTGTGTGTGTTGGGTCCTATGAGTATTAAATGTTTCCATATATGAGTCATCTTTTGATGCATAATAAACACTAAATAACTGCTAAGAGCATTAACTGAGTATTTTCTGTTTTGTAGTGCACACTTTAGCTCTGTTGTTCCTTCGAAACTTGATCTGTGGTCCTAAGTGCTGTAGTGAAAGTCAACAGCTATATATAATTTGTTGATAAGGTCCAGAAAACAACGTAAGAAAGATAAAATAACGTAAAAGGTTATAGATGCGCATAGTTTTTGTGAGTTAAGACGAAATGTCAACTGAAGGGTAAGTCCTAAATATTTGTTGTTCTTCCTTCAGTTAATTTTTTCAAGGAATAACCTTTTTTTAACAGCTATTGTATGTTGTCTCTAGTGCTTCATGCTCAAGTGAAATTTCAGTGAACGTAAGCGACGCGTTCCAACGTATTATGCTGAATAAGAGATTCGGAAGCTGGATTGAATTAGATAATGCGCTAAAGGATTTCCATAAAGTATGATGGGATAAATCTATGTTTTCTCAGATGACCCATACACACTATGTTCACGCAGAAAGTAGATTGTTGAAGGATGTGAGATATAAATACTTGTTCGTAGTGTTTCGTTGCACGTTTGGTCGTAAACGTAAATCAGAAGGTCTGAATGTGATTAAAAAACCGTGAGGACTCTAACTAATGTGTTACCTTTAAGGTCTAAATTTTTAAATTGCCAATCGATGTTTCGCGTAAGATTGGAGGGTCAACAATACGTTATAAAATCTTACAACATGACTCACAACCATCCGTGTACTAGTTCGTGGATGGTTTGTGATCCGTTGAGTAGACGATTGTCATCAGAAGAAAAAGAAAACTTGAAACCA